ACTGTAGTATACGGGGGAGGTGGAGGGGGTTGGGTGGGAGGTGACTGTATTAAAAAGAGTCCGGTTGGGGGGGGGGGGGGGAAGCTACTGTAATTGTACAAGGGTTGAAGGGAGGGAGGAGGTGAATTTAAATATAGCATATATGATGGTGTTAGTGGTGCTGGTGTTAGTGGCGCTGGTGTTATTGGTGATTGTGTTAGTGGTGATGGTGTTAGTGGTGCTGGTGTTAGAGGTGCTGGTGTTAGTGGTTATGGTGTTAGTGGTGCTGGTGTTAGCGGTGCTGGTGTTAGTGGTGCTGGTGTTAGTGGTGCTGGTATTAGTGGTGTTGGTGTTAGTGGTGCTGGTATTAGTGGTGCTGGTGTTAGCGGTGCTGGTGTTAGTGGTGCTGGTGTTAGCGGCGCTGGTGTTAGTGGTGCTGGTGTTAGCGGCGCTGGTGTTAGTGGTGTTGGTGTTAGTGGCGCTGGTGTTAGTGGTTATGGTGTTAGTGGTGCTGGTATTAGTGGTGCTGGTGTTAGTGGTGCTGGTGTTAGTGGTGCTGGTGTTAGCGGCACAAATAAATATCTGAGAGAAAAATCATAGTTTAAAAAATGTAACAACTAAACGTGACAATAATTAGTAGCAGGTGTTTGTGACCTCTTTGTAATGAAATATGTTTAAACATTTTCCAGTCATAATAATACCTGCTTCTTTTGGCTCTTCAAAATTTTAATTTTCTCTTTTAGAGCATTTTTAATCATTAGCAAAAACCCTTGGGTGCCAGAGGGGCTGAATCCTTCACCAGTTGAGATCCACAATGGTCCAAAGAATGGTGTTTTCCCATGTTGTACAGTACTATCATCAAGAATAGGGGCTGTAGAAATGTAAGACAAGGAAATAAAATAACATCACTGTCTGCTTGTCAATGCAATGAACTCACAAGGTAATGCCTAATATTAGTTCATTAATGTGCAATAGATTGTGCTCTATGTTGACAACACTTACTCTCAGATAAATGAGTAATTTGCTTCCCAGTCCAGTCATAAGCAATTTTAGCATGCCTCGTCAGACTCAGTTTACTTGTACAGTGGATGAAGAACTAGAAAATCGTGTTAATAAAGAGACAGCTACAGTACATGAAAGCCATGATTTCATAGTTATAAAATTAAATTAATACTCAATTTATATGAAATGAAGACAGTGAGGTTTAAGAACTCTTTTTACCTTCAAACAATTTATCCGTACAGTTTAATAGGTCAATGGCCAATACACAATAAAAAGAGGTATTTCTATGCATTTTAATTTCAGCTTTCAAACTGAACAAAGAGGTTTCTTATCCATGATTTTAAGACAATAAAAATGTTAAAATGTATTTAAAAACATCTTTACAGTCATTGTCCCTTGCTGTAGACTTAATAATGAGAATACAAAGAAATAGCTATATACATTTTTTTAAAAACAATTATGCCATTTTAAAAGGAAAATGTAGGAATTTTTCATTTAAAACTTACCCAGTCCATATCCTCCATGTCAACTACTACTTCAGATGGTTCAGTACTGCAGCCATTTTTGTAAATCATCATTCTGACTTTCTGGGTCGTACACAATTCACTGAAACACAAGTGATCTAAATGACAAGTGATTAACATCTAAATGACAAGTGATTAACATCTAAATGACAAGTGATTAACATCTAAATGACAAGT